ACATGGCTACTTGACAAATTTTCAATTTCTAATTCGTGCTCTATGACAATGGTACAACATGATTTGGCTAAATTTTGATAAAACACGAGAGTTCATGGAACACCATCGATTATTATCTATTTAGGCGCTTGATTAATTTTTTATTTCTTATTCCAAACATACGGACAATAATACGATGCGATATATCTGAAATTCAGATAAAACTAGAGTTTGTAGAACGGAATTTGCCAAACAATTCGCGTAGTTGACACAACGGGTGACAACACTCGAGGTGGGTTCCACCTGAATCTAAATATGACCCGCCTGTGCTGCGTGTGCGGTCATGCCCGTGGTCTCGGTCCTTGTAGAACACCACAGGGGAAGTCAATCAGTGGGGTCTATTAAGTTTTCCAATTAATTCGTGTTCAAGTTCATCTCCAACAGAATTATCCAACTCGCTTTAAACTAGGAACCCCACTGAAAATGGCGACGGCTCTTCTGATCAGTTATTTGTGCTTCTTTCCTCTCCACTTCTCATATTCCTCTCCTTTACGTTTGCCCATCGGAGTTCATCCTTTAGGTGATTCCATATCTATAAAGATGAAATTTTTTATTAAATTTCGTATATTTGTAGTTTCGCGTACAATATGTTTGTGGAATTGCAGATGAGAAGTACTTTGATAGAAATGTGATCAAATGCAGAGATGGGTCCAAATCATTCACAAGAGACCGTATCAACGACAATTTTTGCGACTGCCCCGACGGCACTGACGAGCCTGGTAACTCGTTATGTCTTGTTGAAGTATTGGATTTTATTTTGTTCACGCTGAAATTTTTATTACAAGTTACAATGAAACTGAATTGAAGAACTTGTATAGTCAAGTGCCAAAAGAATATGGTTCAGGAAGAAAAAAATGGTAAAAGAACTCCTTTTTGGAGTTCCTTGTCGCTACTTAGTTAAAAGAAAATATCGTTTCCCCATGCTTGGCAAGATTTTCAGATTCTGTTGTAGACATATGGTCGATATTTTTATTTGGTTAGGAAGAAAGATCGTCCTCCTTGGTTAAGAAGTTGCACTCTATCTCTAGGAGTCAGTTCTCTCCATCTGGGAAAAATGATGGGAATATTAGTAGAGATAATATTTAAATTAGTTTTCAATTTTGATGCTTATTTTAGGAAACATAATTAGGATATTGATTTCATAGATTTTATTAGATGTTTATTACTTAGAATAGGATATTTGAAACCCTATATAAAAGTGGCTTATGCTTTGTAATAAGGCAGAACTTTGATATGAATAAAAATTGATAATTTTTCCTCCAATTTCTTTTTGGTCTGTCTAATTTTTCTTTCCTTTTATCTCCTCCTCTTCTCCTCTTTTCTCTTCGTTTCTCTTCTTCTCTCACCTTTCCCTTCATCTATAATTTTACTATTTTGTTTGATTGCATCCGACTTGAATGCAATTTACAAGTTATATTCTGTTTAAGTCTCAATGCTTTTTATTATTGGATGTGTAGGTACTTCAGCATGTCCAGCTGGAAAATTCTATTGTAGAAATATAGGAAGCACACCACGATTTTTATTCTCATCTCATGTGAATGATAAAATTTGTGGTAAGCCTTCTATGTGTGTATTATTTTCTTGATCGTGTCATAGTGGTTTCTTACGACTTGCTTATTTTTATTGATGAATGACATTCATTGCAAGTAAATAGTTTCTTTGAGCATTCTTCTACGTCATTCATGCACTGGATGTGCATTCCGTTTCGATTCTATGATAACATGGTCATGTTGCCTTCAAAGACCTACTCAGACCTGGTTGTTTAATGTCTTTTGGATGATCTACCAGTATACAGAAGTACTTTTTGCTTGCTCTCTCCACTTACCTTGAGAGAATAATCTCTGTTTCATTCTGTTTGAACTATTCACATTTTTGTAAATGTTATTTAGCTTGCAAAGTAAAATATACTATGCTGGCTATCTTATTTACAACTTTCATATACTCTTCTATTTTCCCTGTGTTGTAATTTTTGAACATTGTATTGTCACCTGAATCTTAAAATTCTAGCTCTATTTGCATATATCTCATTTACTTTCTGATAACTAAATATTATTTTAGATTGCTGTGATGGAAGTGATGAGTATGATGGAACCGTCATCTGTCCTAATACTTGTGTCATGGGTGGGAATGTAGCTTATCAGACCATAAATTATGGGTCACTGGCTAGTCGTGCAGGTTCTGGTGATTCAACGAAACCTAAGCCTAAGATCAACACCGAGAACTCTACGCAGAAGCTTATAGGTACTTGTATATCACAGCTCTTGTACAAACTACTTTTTTTCTGTGACTAATTATTATATTATTATTCCAGGTTTGAAGGTATTGGTCTTCCTCCAGTTGGCTATAGTTGTTGTGATTGCTTTCCGGCTAATTATTTGCCGCAAGACTAGAAGAAGATATTCACCTTGAAGAAATTTGTCACCAGCTTACTTCATCATGGTATATTTTCTTTGACTCTGCTCTTTGAAATTTGTTTCTGCTTGGAAAAATTGAATTCCCTTAGACCTCTCACTTTGCTCTCATATATACTAGAAGATCTGGACATGATGATAAGAAGATCACAATGGAACAGAAACATTAAAACCAAAAACAATTTAATTGGTGAAAATAAATAAACTATGCAATCTTATGTTCATTAACTAAACAAATAAGAGTTTTAAAAAAAAAAAATGAAAAAAGAACTAAAGTGAGAAGAGAATCTTCCTTACCTTAATCCTGCATGCTAATTGTATGATGCATGATTGTCGCAATTCATTGATTGATCCTCTTGACTTGCTTTCTTTTGTTTTTTGCTGTCATCTTTTTTAGTTTTCATGTTTTACTTCTAGGAAGTTTCGGTGTCTTCTCATCTTCAATTGACATTGCTTTTGAAGAGGTATTATTACAGGAAGTTCGATTCTCCTAATGTCCTTTTCTTCTTTGATCTTCATGACTTGTTTTCTATTCTTCCTACTCTCTTCTTTGACAGTTTTCATGTTTTCTTCTTGTAACTTTCTGCTTATCCATCCTCAATTAGGATCGTTTTCAAAGTGTTTTGTATTTGGACTTCTGATTCTCTTTCCCTACATTTATGATTTTCTGATAAATGAAGGATAATTTCCCATCACGGGTTTCACTGATTCTGGATAGTGTATACTTCAGATCAACTTCCATTATTTACTAAGATGGAGAATTTTTGTTTCCCTGGACAAAAATCATTAATTTTGAGTTTTTCAAGATGTTTGTTGTCACATTGATGTTCACAAATGGCTTGGAATTTGTTTTGTGGCCTCACTTTTGACTGATTGCACATATTCTTGAACAGGACTTGCT